TTTTCCAATTTCCTTTCCATGTGACTGGATTTTCTCTAGACTACTACCAAAACAACACATATCACAACAAAGTCAATGCAGAAGAACTTGTGATAGACTCTGCCTATATTCTATAAAGCTAGATACTAATAAAATGTAAAAAATACAGAACAATTCCAGTTTTCTCACTGCATTTGTTTTAGAAAATATGCTTATTTTTATTAAAATATATTATTTATATTAACATGTGATTTATTAATTTTGTCAATTAATAAATATTTTAAGTGTTGGGCTGGGGTAGTGGCTCAGAGGTAGAGTACTCGCCCAGCGTGCTTGCCTATCATGAGTGAGGCACTGGATTCAATCCTCAGCATCACATAAAAATAAAGATATTGTGTCCATATATAACTAAAAAATAAATGTTAAAAAAAGAGTAGTGTAGACTAATTTTTTTAAAAAATATTTATTGTTTAGTTTTATGTGGATATAATATCTTTATTTTTTATTTTTATGTGGTGTTGAGGATCGAACCCAGCGCCCTGTGCATGCCAGATGAGCATGCTACCGCTTGAGCCACATCCCCAGCCCCTAGACTAATTTTAATAAATAATATTTTAAGTGTCTCAATTTTTATTTGTAATATAGAAAGTATGAATGGCTATGATCCATACTTAAAGGTCCTCAATAATTGCCTAAGACTATAAAGGAATACTGAGACCAAAAGATTATCTGTTCTAAGATAAGTAGGAAGTGTATTAATCAACACACTGTTAATTCTGTAAGTTTGTTTGTGAAAACAAATAGGAAGAACACCATTCAACATGTGCTTTGGGTCCTAGCCACTCAGGAGAGATACTTGATATAGTCCATATCCTCAAAGTCCTTCCAGTTATTGAGCTGGACTTGCTGATTAGCTCTGGGGGCTGGTTTCATGAAGATACACCTCCTTTATCTGTTTCTGCTTGGTTCTAGAACCCTCTATAGGCATGATTTTATCAGTCTTGGCTACTTAATTTCTCCAATGCATGAATCATAGCAGGTACTGAAGAACCTTCTGATCAATTGATAGGGTATTTGCTATAGAATCAGATGGGTGCACTTACTCATTCAGAATATTTATTGAGTGTCTGCTAGTTGCTAGGCTGTGTACTAAGCACTGGAAATACAGTAGTGGAGGTGTGATTGCTGCTCTAATGGAAGTAGACTTGTTTGTTTGTTCCCATCAACTTTTCCTTTATCTTCTTTTAGACTTGAGCATCTGTGGCACTCAGTGAAGTGTGCTCCCTAACTGGATGGGTAATGGAGTGATTGTCCACAGAGTTCCTATATTTGCAGTAGTGTCATCTGTTAAGGAAGTTGTCATGCCAGGGAAATTCCTTCACCATCCTATTATTTTCTTCTTCTTTTGGGCTGTATTTTGGACCAGTCTATGTACACTAAGGTGATTAATTGAGAACAACCATCAAGGTCAACTTGCATTTACAAAGATTGGTATTGGAGACAGGAACTCAGCACCTGGAAGGCATGACATCAATGCCTGTCTTTGTGGGAAGCACTAATAGTCATAAATGCTATTCTTACCAGGAACTTACACGTTTTCCTATTTAACCTTCAAAATGTCATCAATGTGGTAGGTGGTGATTTCACTTCTTATGATGAGGAAACCAAACATAGAAAAGTACTAATATTCAGGATGGCTAGCTTCGTAATGAACCATTGGTAATTCCTGGTCCCGCCTCCTACTTCCTTTGAATGTCTCATGACATGTCCTGCCTGCTTTATGTTTGATGTTCATGGTATTGGTACAGTGATCAGTGTTCCTGGATTTCATGATGATTTTTGCAACTGGAGGTTGTGCAATCTGCCACCATGCCAGCTACGTCACAGCCATCCCCTGGATGAGTGGCCACTCACATGGCGGCTTGCTGATACAGGAAACCTTTGGATGTCTTTGCTTTAGATGACTCCCTGGTGGCTTTGATCTAAGAAACATACAGCATCATCAATGTAGTTAACTTAATTTTGTCTGGTAGCAATTGCCATTCTGTAGCTATCAATGTGGGAAAAAACACATAAGTTTTAGAGGACTTGTATGACAGTTTGCCAAAAGTATATATCTCTGTATGCCACATGTCACTATCCTGGGGGTTCTGATGTATATAGTCCTTGACTCCTGGCTGCTTATGGAAAATATAGCTTTAATGCCTTTGGCAAGAGGAAGGGGAACTGATATTTGACCACTATTAGTATTTTTATATCTTTTTTATGTCCGTGCCTTACATTCTCAATCAATTCTCACAACAACCTTAAGTGGTTATTGGATTTACTTCTGTTTTACAAGTGAGGAGGCAGAAGCTCAGCATTTGAGTAACTTACAAGCTCAGCCTGTTTGCATTCCCAGTTGCCTCCTCAGGGATTGCTTTCCTTAAATGACTCAACAAATAGAGGTGCTCTGGGCCAGCTCCCACCTCACCATTCTGGTACTGATGTTTACTCATCTAGCAGATGTGTTTTGGCCATCTTTGTGCCAAGTACTGGCAGGAGAGAAGAGATTTGAATAAAGCACAACCTCGTTCTTTTGTTTTTTGCTTTTGTGTTGCTGGGGATTAAAGCCAGGGCCTTGCATGCTGAACTACATCCCCATGCCATTCCATGCCATGCCATTCCATGTAGTGTCTTGCTAAATTGCTTGGAATGGCCTCAAACTTGTAATTCTTCTGCCTCAGACTCAAGTAGCTGGCATGCAAACATGCACACCTGATCACAACCTCATTCTTAATGATGATTCTGCTTCTTTGCATTGGCTTTTCTTGTAATTTAGTGCAATCTGGCATCTGTAAAGGCTGTAGAATAACAGCTGCAGGAAGATGTTGGATAGATGTTTTATCAGGGGGTCAAAGGTAATGGAGGAGGAATTCATGGCTGAAAACAGGATCAAGTTAGAAAATATCATGGCTTGTTCATTTAGAATGAATCTCATCAAGAAGGCTTGGTAGACAGAATGATGAGATCCAAGAGTTAAAAAGTATAGAGGCTTTATCCTACAGGAAGTGGGGAGCATGGTAGGTTGTTCTGCTTATTGGTATTGTCTGTAAAATTATTTGTTTTTTATAAAATTTGGAGACTACAGTAAAATCACATATAATCACACCTAGAGACAACCACTATTAGTATTCTTGTGTCTCTTTTGTGTATTCTGTGTTCTGTTTTGTTATTTAATAAATATTTTTTCTATTATTACAAATCCTTAATAGTTTTCCCAGTAACTATAAAATTCCATATATTATTTAGCTGTTTGACTACATTTGAACATTCTGCTGCCAATTTTTTTTTTTTTGCTGTGACAGAACAACAGGTTAGAAATACTTTTCTTGCACATAAAATTTTTGCTGCATTGATACTTATTTTCTTGGGACAGGTTACTGGAGTGTATTTGTAGGTCAGAGTATGAATATTCTAAAGAGTTCTAGAGCCTTTGAAATGAGATGTACTTATTGATAACTCTACAAGCTCAATGATTTTCCTGTACTTAATGAGTAGTAAGAAATAATTATAGGTTTTTAGAAGTTATTGCTAGCCACTTGAGAAGTTAAAAATGTTTATTTTGTGTTTCTCTATTAATGAAGTAAGACATTTTTCCCATATGCTGTGTATCATGGTGTAAGCCGTATTTCACATGTAATATTTCATTATCTAAATTGTCTATTCACATTCCTCATGGAGTAATAGTAATAGGAAGAAACCCTTGTAAAGCAGTTTCTATAAGCCACTACTCTAAGCACTTTAAAAATTAATTTAAACAGATAGATGTTGCTGATATCTCATTTCACAGAGGAATAAATGAACACATACAGAGGTTAGTAAATTGCTTAAAGTCATGCAGTCTGTAAGTGACAGAGCCCAAACTTGAAACTAAGAGATCTGGCTCCAAAGTCCAGGTTCCTAATCAATGCTGAACTGTTCTCTATTGTAATCTGAGTTTCTGTTCTTGTTAGTCATGGTGCCATCCACTAACTCCTACACACACACACACACACACACACACACACACACACCAGGCTGCTTCTGCTTCCTAGGACTACATTAGTGATGTTCATGGAAATAATTTCTGCACTCATTTACACCCCAGTGTGTGCTCTGCTCTTATATCAGTGGACCAAGAGGAGTGAACAACAATGATTATTATTATGTAGCATTTATATAGGAATTTGTACATTTTACCTCTACTCAGGTACATTCTGGCTTTGCAATAAATATGAGGAAGTGGGAAAGCTGATTATCCATTTAAGAAAACAATAAATATATTTCATACAAGGATTTCTCTTGAATAGGAAGTAGAAAATACATTTGTATCTTGTAGGCATGAGTTCAATCCCATGCCAAGAGGGAATAGTTCACCCTGTGGTTGAGTTTTAGAATCAAATAGGATAATGTTTGTAAGACATCTGACAGTGTTTAATGCCCTTTCCTCAATATAATGAGACATGAAAAGGATAGATTTTAAGGTTTTTCAAGGTAAGATAAATCTCTGGTTAATTGTCATTCCAGTCGGTTGTTGTTTTTATCCTTTCAAAAATATTTGAGGGCCTACTCTTACCCATAAGTGGCATGAGTCCTGCCTTCCATGGGCTCATGATCTGTTGTGGGTCATTAGTCATAGTCATCACAAGTAGAGAGCTCTGCTCCTGTGCCTTTGTTTCCTCATCTAAAACATGGAGATCTTATAAGGATACATATAAAATGCTCATCATAGTTCCTGACACATAGTCAGTGCACAGTCGTAGCTGCTAAGTCATGGAATATTATGCAACCATTAGAAATGATTCATAGAGAGTTTTAATAGCATGGGAAATTTCCTATACTATAATGTTAATGAAAAAATCAAAAGAGTTTAAAATAATATTTTGTAAAATAATCACATCTGGTTTTAAAAAGCATAGAAAGGGCTGGAAAATGCATAAGATATTAATATTTGTGCATCTATCTCATGGTGTGATAGACTCTGAATAAACACACGTGAATAAGATCTGATTCCTCCTTAGGAGAAAGTTTTAATGGGGAGATGGACAATCACAATCTAGCGTGTAATGAAGGAGAGGGAGAAATCAAGGTGCTGCTCAGATTTCTGTCATGAAGAAGGGTAGATGACGGTAGCTATTATTCATGGAGAAAGGAAACAGAATTAGATTACAGAGGGTAATGATTTTGGTTTGGATAGCATCTGTGATCATCCAAGGTGGGTATATAGGCCAGTGACTGTGTAGATATGGGTGAGCTGGAGATGCAGGTTTAGGAAGGTTTAATCTATGAGTAAAACTTCCAGCTTGGGAACAAATAAGAGAACTCTAGGAAAGTCTGTGAACAAGAGCCCCAGATCTTCTTTGCATCCCGAAGATGAGATTCTTCTGAAAGACAAGTTGTTTCTCTCTCTTCCTTCCTTCCCTTCCCTTCTTTTCCCCTTCCTTCCTTCATTTCTTCCTTCTTTCTTTCTTTCCCTATAATGTAAATATGTAATGTAATTGTTTCAGTTACATTTAGGTTTGGTAACATATGGCAGCAAACACAAATAAAAATGGCTTAACCTAGACGTAAGTACATTTCCCTTACTTAAAATAAATCCAACTAGCAGTCCTGTCTAGGGCTTATGTGACACTCCAGGTTCCAGAGTTCTCTGTTCCTGTTTGTCCTCCTGTTCTCATGTTCCAGGTATAGAAGGTCATGATTTGCTCTAGAGGGTAATGATTGGTTTTGGATAACATGTTGTGATCATCTAAGGTGGGTATATAGGCTAGTGAATGTGTAGGTATTTTTTTCCCCATATTATGCTCTAAGATGGGTGCCCAAACTCTCTGACTCAGTTGGAAGAGAAGCTGGAGGAGCACATATCCTTTCCATGCAAGAATATTTCTCGGATGTTGAATGTAACAGTTTGCTTATTTCTTGGCCAGGATGTAATCACTTACAAATATGTATACACACATGTATGTGTCACCAGTGGCCTGTGTGGGGAGGAAATAGGTAGCCCTTGGAGGTGTGGGCCGGCTAGAAATAAAAGGTTGAAAGGTAATATCAAGAAATAGAGCAAGATTTAAAAAAAAAAAAAAGTTTTTTTTTTTTTTTTTTTTTTTTTTTAAATGAGGCCTTGATGGGTGGAAAAGATCTGATGGGTCTGACCCTAACAAAGAAGAAAAGCCCCATAAAGCTTTATTTGTACTGAAACATATCAAGGAATTTACTGTGATGAGGGCTTCCTCAAGGTAAACAAGAAGCAAGCCATGGTGGGCAAGTGGCCTGAATGGGGACTTACCACTTGTGCAGTCATTCTTCCTCCTCCAGGCAGCTGACGCAACCCGGATAGTTGGGCACTGGTGTCTCTCTCCACTTCTGGGGAGTTGCATTTGAACCTAGGGCTGTCTGAACCAATAAATTCTGTGATATCACAGAATTCTTTTTGAGCAGGACATTTGCTAAGGCAACAAAGCAGTCTCAGATTGGTGAGATCACACCAAGAGTTCTCTGAAGGCTGCACCTCCACTTAGAGATGGCTTAGACACGCCCACAGTTCATTCACAGCTCTGTGTGTGTGTGTGTGTGTGTGTGTGTGTGTGTATGTATCTGAATATGTAAACACACACACATACACACACATGCTGAAAGCAGACTTGGAAATGAAATCTTCATTTCTTTATTTTAGGAAATCAATGGCCTAGAGTTTAGTTTGTGATGCCAATCACATTTTGTTTTTCCTGTGGAACAGCTGAGATTGGTTCATCTGAAAAATTATCACCATAATTTCAATTAGACATTACATGTGTCTCTAATTTAAACCATAAGTATAAGCCAGGGGGAATGGTGTGCATCTACAGACGCAGGTACTCAAGAGGCTGCTGTGGGTCACTTGAGCAGGAGTTTGAGGCTATCCAGGCTCCATAGCAAGACCTCTGTCTCAAGAAATTATTTAAAAAAAATCTTAAGTATAGAGGAACCATAATATAGTCTATATAAAGACCACAGATGATAATGAGATGGGAAATACTTGACTTTTTTAGAAGATTCAATGACTAAAAAATGCTGAACTAGAAGCCTCATGTATGTTATACTTCTGAGCAAAAAGAAACCCATTTAAATGGTTAACCTTGAACCGGATCAAGGACAGCAGGAGGTAGTCCAACCTCCTTCATTACAATACAGTCTCAGAGAGTTCCTGAGATTATTGAGAGATTAAATAAACATTTAAAATCTGTGGATGAAAGAATTCAGAAGTATATGGTGGAAAATTACATGATACTGGGAATCAAACCCTAAGCTTCACATGCTAGGCAAGCATTATACCACTGAGCTATATCCCCAACCCAGAAAACTACAAAGCTCTCTTCTGTCTTTAATAGAAAAATTAGTCTTAATAGATCTAAGTGAGATATAGTTCCCTCAGATCAATCCAGGGCCTAGAGTATTGAAATTGGAGTCTGAAATGAAGCTCAACTCTCTGCTTCTGCTGGAAGGTGAGGTCCATGTAGGCTGCAGGCCTCTGCAGTTAAATCCCATTTTAATGTTAGCAGCTCATTACAGCAGGAGATACTTGCTAGTGTCAGCTCCAAAGATAGCTGCAAGAAAACCCGGATCCTTCTCCACTTCCATCCAGTGGTGTGTTGCAGCTACTAATGTTGGATCTAAATGCTCACTGACAATTACTTTCTGGGTTCTTGTCTCATAAATTTGAAGAATGAAATCCATGGGCCACAATGGAAAGTAAGAGTGAAAGAAATAGGATTTATGAAGTGAGAAGGAAAAAGATAGAACTCTTGCAAGGTACGAGGGGACCTGGGAGCAGGTTACTACTTAAATGTACTAGTCTAGAGGCTTATATAGCTTGTAGTTAGGGGCATTAAACAAAAACCCATACTAAATGGGTATTGGATATTGGTTAGCCTTTGAGTCTGTAGCCTTTACTACTCAGGTGTGTTCTGCTTCCCTAGTCCCATAACCCCAGGACAGAGGAGTTGGTTGGAATGTTTCTAATGGTTAACCTCATGGAGTGGCCTTTACATTAAAAAGAAAAAAAAAAAGTCTTCATTGGGACCTACTAACTATCCTATCTTATTCAGTATTATCTACCAACCAGAGGATACAGGACTGTGCCAGGCTCAGCTCCAGGAGGTGTCCCCAGCCCACCACCAATGACCTACAGTCATCAATTGGCTAGTTTCATTCAGCTCTGGGAGAAATTACTGTGGGATGTTCCTCTTAATATCAACTACCTAATAACATTTAAGAATTTAGAGGTTAATAATAAGCTATGTTATAGTTCTTTCATATCTGAAAGCTGTTTACCATTATTAATTAATACTTATACAACCTCTTGACTGAGGTTGAGGGTGGCTGGTCTCCAGAATTATAAGACACACCATCTGAGAGATGACTGGGATGGAGCCTGCACCTCCTGAGGCATTTCTGTCCAAGGGCATCCTATGAAAAAACTTTCCCTTCCTCTGGAATTGAAATGGACACCGAGAAACCTAAGTAAGACAAATGGAGTGCAAAGGGGGAATATTTCTTTCTTCTTTTTTGGGTATTGGGGGTGAACCCAGGGGGTGCTTAACCACCAAGCCATATCCCCAGGTCTGTTTTGTATTTTATTTAGAGACAGTGTCTCACTGAGTTGCTTAGAAGACTCACTAAGTTGCTGAGGCTGGCTTTGAACTCATGATCTTCCTGCCTCTTCCTCCTGAGCTGCTGGGATTACAGGCATGCCTCACCATGCATCAGAAGGGAAATATTTGTGCATGCAATAGTGTATGTGCATTTTGTACCTATGTACACATAATACGAAGTGCCTCTACTCATTTATAAATTCCTCATATTCCTTCCACTTCTTTTAGCAAGTTGTTTAAGAAAATCATATTTTTCTTTTCCCAGGAAAAGATAAAGCTCAAAGTGTGAGAATACATGTGCTGTGGAAAATGGCATGGCTAGCTATGGACTGGCAATTAGAAGGAAAATGAATGCTCTCCTTCAAGTTAGGTTTCCAGCAGTGCTAGTGTAACACATTGTTGACAGTTGCTGTGGATGACTAACTTATAAAAGGGGAAAATCCAGCATCGTAATTGCACTAAGCCTTCATGGACTTATACCACGCAGAAGGACATGGTGATGTGAATAGCACAAATCCTTTACACTCTTAGCCTTCACAGCTTTTTACTCATCCAATTTCCACAACTATCACACGAGGTATAGATACTATATTTATCACCACTTGACAGATGAGTAAACCAAGGCATGGAGAGGTGGCAGAAGCTTGCCAACAGAAAGGCCAGGCTATGCAACCTTGAGATTTGGGGCAGTGTGCTGGAACTGGCATTATTAAACATTCAGGAATTTTGCAAGTAGATGATAGCTTGAAATCAGCCAAGGTTGGGAGTGTTTATACCACAGAGACTGGAGTGCTACAAATCTGGGCTTCCGGGAGGAAGCCCATTCAGCTCTGGCTCACCACAACACCATAGGCTTTCTTCTCTGCTCTGCTTCATGAATATTCAGAAGCCTGCTGAAGGACCACATGGATTCAAATCTCGAGTGAATCTTTACTGGGGAAGGCACTGTGCCAGGTACCAGGGAAATAGAGACCAGCCCGTCAGTAAATTATATGTGGTTGAGAGAAGACAGTGCAAAGGTAAATCCTGGCCAGATGTGAGACTGGGGCTAGTCGTTTATCCTGGGGTTACTCATTTGTTAATGGAGCTGATGGTACAATCACAAGGGGTTTGGGAGAGGATCAATGAGAACATGTGAAGCCGCAGGCATGGAGGTGCTCAATAAGTGAAAGTTCTAAGAGCAGTGGAGATGTAAACAGAAGGCTTTAATTTAGCTTGATATAAGAAAAAGGAGTGATGAATTCTGGGTTCAATGAGAGAAGCCTCCACAGGGTCATGATCCTCCAGGCAGGATTTCAAGGTTTTCAGGTGGGTGTTTGGTGAGTGACTCTTCCTGGTACTTGAAGAGAGTGATTGCTTTTTTTTTTTTTTTCCTACAGCATGTTGCTCTTTTTAGTCTACACCTCCCTGTAGGTTGTTTAACTGTGTGACAGACAATGGGTTTGGAGATTGGCACCCCTGGATTTTTAATCCCAACTCCAGAACTCATCTGCTTTGGAAGGATCCTTAGCTTTTTGGAATCTCAGTTTCTAATATCACAATATGGGTGTAATACCTGCATTATTCTGAGGATTCGTTGAGAATATATGTGAAAGAGTCAGACACAACCCATGCCTTGTGAACCCCAGGCTAAATCCAGCGTGTCTGTATTGTTTCGTCTCCTTTTATCCTCCTGAGTCCCCGGGCAGACACACCCTGTGTGTCTGTACATATTGCCCCCTCTGCCCGGAGAAGTTCTGCTCGGGAGGTAGAATAGCATGTTGGCAAGAGCCATGGGCTGGGGGTCAGATTCAGTTCTGCCAGTTATTAGCTAGGTGGCTGTGAGGAAGAAACTGGTTGTCTTTATATCTCTGTTTTTTTTCCATCTGTAAAATGGGGGAAACAATGGTTGTGAGGATTAAATTAAAAATGGAAAGCCCAGTACATACTAGCCACTGAAAGTTTCTTAGGCATTATTTCCTCCCAGTTTTGCCATTTTAATTACTCTTCCAGATATGGTTCAAATATCACTTGCTTTAAGAAGCCTTCTCCAATTTTCCCTTACCATTATGTGCTTCTCTACTGTGTACCTCTGAAGTTTATGGACCACAACCTTGGAGCACTAGCTATAGCCCAGGCACTTTCCTAAGCATATTACAGATGTCATTTCATTGGGACCGTCACTATGTTCTCATTATTATCCCAGCTTTCCTCTGAGATAGATCAAATTCTTAAAGGTCAAATACATCTTTATAGGAAATCTGAGTACCACCTAATATGTGTTATGTAAAAACGTTTTCCCTTTCTTCTCTGGAAAAAGACAGAATCTATAAATTAATGCAATGTCTTCATTTTACAGATTTGATCTCTGAACAAATATTTACTAAGTGATTACTATGTGTGTGCACTGTAATAAGGGTCGGGAACATGACCAACCCTTACTATGGTGAGCATAAATAATAATCGTAGCCCCTGCTTACCTGTGGCTATTTACACTTAAATTAATTAAGCTTAACTAAAATAACTCCAGATCTGTGTTTGCACTAGCTATCTTTAGTCACATGTGACTAGTAGTTACTGGGTTGGACAGTGCAGACATAGACACTGCCATCATCTCATAAAGTTCTGCTGGACTGTGCTATTCTAGAGGGGTAGGCTGACATTGACCAAATTATGCTAAAGAAAAATACAGTTGCGGTTGTGATGTGCTGAGTAGAAAGAATGCATGGGAACTTGGGAACATTTCATGGGGGGTGTGACTTTGATAGCCTCCTCAAGGAAGACATGTTGGAACTAGACTTGCTGAATGCTGGGAGCTAGCGAAGGCCTGTGGTGAGAGGGGGCCCAGTAATTAAAGGGATTGGAAGAAGCTAATGATGGGGCTCCAGGCTGAGGGAAGGCTTCAGTGAGATGAAGAGGTGGAAGACCACAGAGGCCCTTGTTGAAAGCAGATAAACAAGATGAGAGGTGGAGTGACCGGCTCTCCAGGTACTTCAGTTCTGGTTCTCTGGCTTTGCTGCAGAGTCTGTGCTGCACGTAAATTATTTTCAAAGGACTTGGTTCTCCAGTGACCCCCTTTCCTTCCTGTCCTCATTGGAACTTGCCACATTTCCCTCTACTGGATTATTCCCCCAGTATAAAATCATACTATGATAATGTCCTCCTTAGACAAAGACCTAACAAAAAGACCTTTCTGGATCCTGTACCCTCCTCCTCAAGTCCTTTTCCACTTACCCTTGAAGCTTGCTTTATGTGCCACCTCCATTTTCTTATTATCTGTTTCTTGTTGAACTCTCTCTGATTAGAATTTCTTTCCCCTCCTCATTTTCATAAAAACCCACAGTGACTGGGGGTTTCTTCTAGGATCTCAGCATTGATCTCCCTCCTTTCTGGAGCTCTTTTCATTAGCTTGGGAGACCACCCTCTCAGCTCTCCTCCTGTCTTTCCCCCTCACTCTGGGGCTCATTTGCTGGGTGCTTCTCCTTTGTAGTTTGTGTGTGCTTGAAGTGGCACACCCTTTCTCCACAGAAAAGTCTTAACTGGGCTTCTCCAGAAATCTTCACCAGGACTGATTTTAGGACTGTCAGCAACAGAGTCTCTGCAAAAAAGTTCAATGTAGATAAACTTCCTATTTTCTTGTTGCCCTGTTTTACTTGACTGCTGTCTGGGGCAGCACTCCAGGCGCTGGACACCCCCCTTACTAGTTTTCACAAACATATCCAGTATAGTAGTTTGTAGAAATGTGCAAACAAGGTCTCTGGCTGTGAGCTGGGCTTCACAGAGATGTCCACATTCCTAAGATAAGAGAAGTTACTAACTGGGCTCCATGGTAACAGCTGGAGGGGGAGGAAAGAAAGGGGAGAAGAAGCTCTCCCCTTCTCAGGTGCTGTCCTTGAAGAGTTAACTTGCCCAGAACAGTGAAAGAAAAAGCTGCTTTTATGTGAACTTTTACAGACTGTGAACTTCTGAGGCCCTCCCAATACATGCTGTTTATAAAATTCTGAAACTACCTGAACTCGTGGTTCAGGGGATTGATTGATTACAGCAAAAGCTGTGCCCTCTGAACCTGGCTGCAGCCAAATAAAACCGTTTCCTGCTATCTTTGGTGCCTTGCCTGTCTGTCCCTACAACATTCTGGGCTCTGTCCTGGCTTTCTTCATTATCCTAAATATATTAACTCGCTGGTAACTTCATCTAGAGCCATAGTGAGAATTAATTTTGTACGTCAACCTGGCCAGGCTATGGTTGCCCACGTTTGGTCAAACACTAGTCTAGATGTTGCTGTGATGGCATTTTAAAAGTGTGACAAACAGTGAAATCAGCAGACTTTGAGTAAAGCAGATGGGCTTCATTTCATTATTGAGGGACTGAAAAGAAAAGACTGAAGACTCCTGAAAGGAAATAGTTCTGCCTCAGCCTGCTGCCTGAATTGCTAGCCTCTGGGCCAGCCCTGTAGATCTTAGACTTGTCAGCTTTCATAATCATGTGCCAATTTAAAAAATCTCTTAGCCAGCCATGGTGGCACACACCTCTAATCCCAGTGTCTTGGGAAGCTGAGGCAGGAGGATTGCAAATTGGAGGCCATCCTCAGCAACTCAAAGAGGTCCTGACCAACTTAGTGGTACCCTGTCTCAAAATAAAAAATAAAAAGGGCTGGGGAAGTGGGCTCAGTGGTTAAGCACTCCTGGGTTCAGTTTCCTGTACCAAAACATCTCTCTCTCTGCACGCGCGCGCGCACGCACACGCGCACACACACACACACACACACACACACACACACACCCTGCTACTCTACAGATTTTTTCTGGAAAACCGTAATCCACATTGCATTAAATGTCTTTACTGACTATTACATTTTTATTTCTAATTCTGATCTCCCTGAAACTCCAGATTTGTATATCCAACTGCTTATTTAACACCTCTATTTTGAAAACTAATAGATCTCTAAAACTAATTGTCCCATACTATTGCTTTCCCCTCTTCCCTGACTGTTCTCCCTTTCATTAAAGAATGTCACTATTTGCTCAGTTGTCAAGGCCAAAAGTCTGGAATCATCACAGATTCTTTTCTTTCTTTTGTTTCCTCATTCCATCCATCTGCAAATTGCAGTAAACTTTCAAATGTATTTTCTCACCTCCCTAAACCAACCCAATCCAAGCCTTTATCACCTCTAGCTTGGGCCACCACAGAAACTTCTTTTTCTTTCTTTTTTTGGGGTGGTGGTGGTGGTAACCAGGGTTTGAACTCAGAGGCACTTTACCACTGAGCTACATCCCCAGTCCTTTTTTATATTTTAAGACAGTTTCTCACTAAGTTGCTGAGGCTGGTCTGGAACTTGCAATCCTCCTGCCTCAGCCACCTGGGATTACAGGTTTATGCCACTGTGGCATGGCCACAGTGGCTTCTTAACTGGTCTCTGTATTCTTTATTATTATTATTGTTATTATATTTTAGTTGAAGTTGGATACAATACTTTTATATAGAAGGGGTTTTATTTATTTATTTTTGTGGCTCTGGGTAGGAACCCAGGGCTCAAAGCATTCTAAACATGTGCTGTACCAATGAGTTATAATCTTCCCAAGAAGGCGTGTTTAAAATGATAATTTTTTTTAACTTAAAAAGAAAATAACTACATGGAACTAATCTGGGGATTTGTGCTATAATTTGCTTACCTAAGAACAATGTAAGATAAAATGACTCATCTAGTCTTTTCTCACATGCAGTTGGAAAACATTAACTATAATCACCTTGAACTGTCTGTCCATACAAGATGCAGTTAGTGTCGAGGCTCCTGAAATCGAACAGGTGTTTCATCAAGGTGTTTATTTCATTATTTCAAATTAAGTGATTTTTAAAAAAATCCGCCCCCATCCTATGTCATGCTTTTGCAACAAGCTGTAGTTCCTATATATTTTTAAGAATGAGAAGCTTATGCTCCTAGTTCACGGGCTGTTATTGTATAGTTAAATGAGATAAGGCATAGAAAACGGTTCCTACCGAGCTTGATTCAGGAGTACACGGAGTGTGTCTTCCCTTGCCCCAGCTTTCTTTTCCATTTTCCACCCCTTAATAACATTGTTTCCTGAACACCTATATACTAAGCCATCCCCAGATTCGGGTGAAGTGCTCACACACTCACCACACACAGGGAGTGTGGTTTAGTGTGTGTAGAGCGTGTGCGGTGTGTGTAGTGTGTGAGCTACAGCAGCCTCTGACTACCTGGGAAGGGGCTGGAAGGAGGAGCCAGTTCAGAGGAGGCGTGGCTTCTCCCTGCAGTTAGGAGCCTGCAGCCCTTTCACCTTGTGTCCTCCAATGTGGCGTCTTCCAAAGAGGTGGAAAGACTTATGGTGGTTTATTTATTCAGCAAGCATTCGTGGCCACCGACTGGTGAAGGTGCTGAGTGAGAACCCGAGCAAGAAAAGGGAAGCGCAGAGGGCAGGGGAGGCAGGTACCTGGAACCGCCTGCGTTAAATGCACGCTGAGCTTTCCTTAAAACAAACGAGACAAACCCAAACCTGAGTGTGGTGCAAGGAAGTGCGCGACGGGGAAGTTTTGTGCTGTTAAGAATGTGTCACTGCAGGATTAGTCAGGATGAAATGGATGCTTAACTTCCTTTAGGGAATTACCCAGAGGACTAATGCATTACCTTAGGGCAGTGGGTTCCCAGTTTTGCTGTCAACTAGTCAAAGTTCTAACAGCTAGATACCCAGGTCACTCACTCCATACCAAAGATGACAGGCTGTCTGTGTGGGAGCCAAGCTTCAGCATTTCTAAAGATCCTCACCGGACTAAAGCGGGCAGCCAGTTCTCGAGCCAGTGCCTGAGGGCATAGTCCAGCTCTGCAGCTCTTACTTAATTCTGCTTCCACGGTTTCCACCCCAGTCTCGCGCTGGGGGCGGCCACCGGAGGCAGGAGACGCCGTCGCCCAATTAGGAGCTCCCACTTTGCCCAGCCGATCGGCGGCGGCTGCCAGGGCTGCACGAGGAGTGCATTTTGCTTCGTCATTCTGACTCTGGCGGTTCACCCTCCCGCTCAGAGCAGGGCGTGGCTTCTCAGAGCCACTGGGAACCAGCTGGCCCGTCGCCTCGGCCAGCCTCAGTCGGGCACTGCGTTCCGGCCGCAGGTGCTGTGCCGGGGAGCTGGCCGTCTCCGCGCTTCTCCCTTCCTGGGAGCTCCGCGGCCGCTGGAAGCAGAGCGCGCTCGGCGCCCTGGCACCCGGCAGGTGAGCACGCCGGGGACGGCTGCTGGCGGGGCTGAGCCAGCGCCGGCGGTGCCTCGGCGGTCCCCAGGGGTGGAGGGAAAGCGGGTGAAGTCCGAGAGGGTCGCGGCTCTTGTTAGGCCAGCGAGAGCGAGCTTGTCGGCAGCGTGCGGTGCGGGCCGGGTCGCGCCAGCTGCTGCCTGTGGTGGGTGAGGTTGGCCCCCTGTCGGCGGTGGTTTCCTCGCTCGTTCTCTAGGTAGCCTCTTTCAGACTCTGAGAAAATGGGGTTTTGTATCATTTCTGGAGCACGAGTCTTGAAATGTAGATGGCAGTGTATTGAGGTGTGGATTGGCACATCCTTGACGGCAGCACGCCTTTCCAGGAATTTTCACACCGTTGACTCCTCAGGAATCTGGAGAAACTGGCAAAGCTCGTGTAAACCCCGTGTTTTGACAAGTGGCTTGCCCATCCAGACATTAGGAAACAGGGCAGCCTCGACTGCCTCCTGTCTCTTACCTTATTCTGCGAGGCAGTGCTGGCTAGTGTTAGGGGCACAGCCCTCCAGGTCTGGGTTGAATCTTGCTCGTGCTGTTGACGCTGCTGGAACTCGGGCAGGCTCCTTCGCTTTTCTGCCCTCGGTTTCCTGATTTGCTTGATGGGCTGGTGAAATCCCACATCTGCAGTACAGCTGCGGGGATGAAAGGTCAACCCGTGCAAAGCACCAGGCCTGGGTCAGTGCTTTGAATTCTGCCACCGTCTGGCTTTGAATTCTGCCACTGACTGAATCTCTGCTGAGTGCACCCCTTTGGGAAATTGGATCGTTAGTTCCTGTTCTCACCTAGAACTGCTTCAGGATTCTTTTTAAAAGTCCCCAAAGTTGGTAGAATGTTAATTTCTCCCGGTGGTTTCAGATTGCAAGGGAAGTTGGAAGTTGGATTTTGGCATTCCCTGTGGGCGCAAACTTCAAAGCAAGATCCACGCGGGAGGTGTTGAGAAAGCAGAGATAACTGTGTCGTAAGGTGACTTTTTGAAGCCTTCTGAATTCCGGACTTACTGTTAAAGCAGGCTGTTGAGCTTAAGCTCAGCCTTGCGAGGCTCTGGCGGGAACCCTCAGGTTCACAGTGGCCTCCACCCAGGGGGTTCCCAGACGGTGAGCTCGGTGCGCAGCGCGGAGCCCCGGGCGCTGGTTGCCCGCTGCGGCTGCGG